AAAAATTAGAGCAAACCTTACTTCTCCTCAGCTCCTTCATCAAGAGCCAATTCAAATATCTAGCAAAGCTTGGTCTTTGGGAAATGGGCACCACTTACCGTCTCCCTGTTATAACTGGCAAGACATCATTGGATTTGGCTTCAATTATTTTAAATGCAACTTTCTTCAAGTCTGAAATGCCTACAGCCATGTCCTCCAGCATTCCGATTTCATCACCTAAATGAGAGAAAGGAACCTGGTTACAAGTGTACTATTTTTTAAAAAATATATTTTTATTGATTTCAGAGAGGAAGGGGGAGGGAGAGAAAAATAGAAACTTCAATGATGAGAGAGAATCATTGATCGGCTGCCTTCTGCACACCCCCTACTAGGGATTGAGCCTGTAACCCAGGCTTGTGCCCTGACTGAGAATTGAACCGTGACCTCCTGGTTCATTGGTTGATGCTCAACCACTGAGCCACACCAGCCAGGCACAAACACTCTATTTGAAGAAAGTGTCCCTGGGTAGTCTACCTCACTGCTGGGATTTGTTCTAGCATTTTAGTAAAGGAGTTTCTGAATGAAACGAATCCATTCTCAATGCTTTTCCTCAGAGGCTGAAAGTTTTCATCAGTGAAATAAGAGCCATGCCAATGGACTCCAGCAGTTCACGGGCCCTTTGAGGGAAGGAAGAATGTGCTCATTTGCTGGGAGGCAGCAGTGATGTTTTGACTGTTCTATGAAACAGTGTCCTGCAGTTTCTTTTCATTGGCAGGACTGATATTTGATTTCTAGAAATAATAGAAATGGCTGAATTGAAGATCCTACCTAGGCTCATGCTAGTTTCATATCTCAATACACTGGCAAATAAAGCCTAAGGAGGGGGTAATCAAGTGCCATTCTAATCAGCATTGCCCAATAGAAATAGAATGTGAGCCACATATGTAATTTTCCATTTTCTGATAGTCAGAAATCTTTTTATTTATCAATTTCAGAGAGCGAGGAAAAGAAAGAGAGAAAGAGAGACAGAAAAACATCAATTTGTCATTCCACTTATTTATGCATTCATTGTTTGATTCTTGTATGTGCTCTGACTGGGGAATCAAACCACAACCTTGGCGTATTAGGAGGATGCTCTAATCAACTGAGCTGCCCAGCCAGGGCTCAGTAGTCATATTTTAAAAGATTAAAATAAAAAGGTTAAATTCATTTTAATAATATATTTTATTTTAATTCAATATCTCTAAAATATAATTCCATTGGTAAATCAATATAATCAAAATAAAATAATTAGTTATTAATATAAAACTCTTTTTAACTAGTTGTTAAATCTGGTATACGTGTCTTATACATACTGATTTGAACTAGATAAATTTCAAGTGCTCAATAGCCATACCAGGCTACGAATTGAACAGTACAGTTCTAGGTATTAGAGGGTTGGACTTTAAAAATCCAGTTCTTGAAACTATGTTGGCAAAGAGCCTTTTCTATTAAAAAACCAGATAGCTGCTTAGGTCTCCACTATGAAATAATTTATAATTCTATTTTCATAACATAATGGAGGGGAGTACAGTTACAAAGTGAATGCAAGGAATGAAAAGTTACATTACTTCTGGAATGCTTTAATGTAATAAAGTTTTACTTTCATTTTTATGTTTAACTGAGGAATCCAAGGACCAAATATCCTATGAATAGGAGTATGACTTTCACATGTACCAACCATCCATACTCACTGTATGTACTTAACAGTCCTTCATATTGTACTATCAATCCCACCGTGTGAAGCTGCTGTAGGAAGCCAGGGTCATGCAAACTTGTGTGTAATTTGATGATAAAACCACAGACCAATCCAGCAAGCTAAAAAAAAAAAATCATTGAAGAAATTGATAGGGGTTAGCAAACTTTAATTTAAAAATATTGAAGACTTCTGAGGCATCAGAGATTTAATTAAAAAATCTCAAGTACATTTAACAAAACTATTTACATATCTATGCTGAAACCAGTTGGCAGTCTTTGACCAAGTAAGGCTTGGGGCACGCGGCATTGTGAGGAGGAAAGAGCATGGGCTCTGAGTCAGGCTGACATGACTACAAATCCTGTCTCTGCCATTTCCAGCAGTAAGACAATTAGAAGATATTTAAAATGTACACATATTATTATTTTAAAAAATACTTTTTGCACATACAGAATAGAAGACTACTCATTTCATAGAATCATTGAAAATACTCAATGAGGAAATGTGTATCAGTCAGAGCACATAGCTCCATTTGTCACTGGAGCATCCATGACAGGGGCAGTTTGGTTAAAATACTCCATTGGTCTTAAATGTTTAGAAAGAGAGGCCTTCTGTCTCTCTCCCTCCCCGTGGCTGCCTATAAAACTCATGGTGCGGAGGGAGGAGGGGAGAAGAAGGCCCCTGCATAGCCACTGTGATGGAGGCCGGCCTTGGTGTCATGGAATCTGGTTGGGTGTAGGCAAAGGAGGTGTTCCTGTCAAACCTCCTGTTCAAGCCTTCCTGCTGGCAAATTTATTTTCTAAACAAAAGAAGAGACCATAATGAGGCCCCATCCTGGAACCCATGAAGGAGCTGTATAAATAGTGGGTTGCAAACAGGCCCCTTTGCCAGTCCTAGCTGGCCACCTGCAGTGCAAGGCAACTATCCCTTTCCTTCCACTGTGCTCTGTACAGAGACCCCAAGGCATGATACAATGACAGCATGGGTGACCCTTTCCTTCACAGACTCTCTGTTCTGAAATTTCTACATCTACCTTTCAGAGACTTGGCCACCTCTAAAGAAATAAACACTAAGATCTTATAAACTATTTCTATGTACTTTTTGATTCATATCTATATATCCTATATAATAAAAGGGTAATATGCAAACTGACCCTAGCAGCAGAACAACTGGGAATGACTGGTCACTATGACACACACTGACCACCAGGGAGCAGATGCTCAATGCAGGAGCTGCCCCCTGGTGGTCAGTGCACTCCCACAGGGGGAGCTCTGCTCAACCACAAGCCAGGCTGATGGATGCCAGTACAGCGGTGGTGGTGGGAGCCTCTCCCGCCTCCTCAGCAGCAGTAAGGATGTCCTACTGCAGCTTAGGTCTGCTCCCCGCTGGCAAGTGGACATCCCCCAAAGGCTGCCAGGCTGCCAGAGGGATGTTTGATTGCCAGCTTGGGCCCAATCCCCCAGGGAGCAGGCCTAAGCCAGCAGATGGACATCATCCCATGGGCC